AATGAGATTCATTCTATATTTTTAATTTTACTTTAATAATCAATATGAACTTAATACAGAACCTTCAACATAATACATACTTATCATTCATAACGTTCTCTAGCTTCGGCCGCACTTCTAATATTCTTTAATAACTAAATAATCAGTTAGTAGAATTAAATACAACAGCTTGAAGATACTGACACAAAATTTTCGTGCGGTATTGACGAGAAAGAAATGAGGTTAATATTACTGAGACGCTCCATTAAAAATAATCTGCGAATCGTGTGTTTTGATTTATTAAAATCATAACATCTGGATTGTCTTTCAAAGCGCCATTATTATTTTCCTCTATTCTGAACATGTATCTTTAAACACAAATCAAACAAAATTTTCTACATTCTTTCTGCAAACAAAAATCCGGAACGCGGTAGGTAACAACATAACCCTCGTATTATCACTTTATAGGAAAAGACAGCGGACTATCGGTACGTAAATCCGACTAATCAAACACAAAGCGGCGCGAAGAAATGAAAAGGAACTCGAGATTTGGCCGACGGCACTCGCCCGGGAAGCGGAATGAAGGGCGGAAAATTCCTGTGAATGCCGGAAAGAAACGTAAGAAAATGAGAAAAGTTCGCGCGCTTTGTCACCTCCGAACAAGTTGCCGAGCGCCACCGCGTGGGAAGGCGTTGCGCTTCGCTCCCGGAAACGAGATTATCCGTCAATTAAGCGACCAACATGCGAGGCTCGCGGTGAAAGTCGTGGCAGTTTGCTTTTGGCTGAATACGAGCACGAGTGGGAAATGAAAAATATACTTATAAAAGGACAAGGTATGAACTTAGTGCAAACACTGAAATTGTGTTTCTTACATTTAGTAAGGTGTATTATCGTGTATTTTTACTTTGCTTATAGTTGAGTACTTGCTGCTAGTACTTATACATGGTACTTTTATAAAAAAGTTTTAATTTCAATCTCTAGAACTGAAGTTTAATAAGCACGGAATTGTCTTTTTCACTGCAATGTACAATAATTTATTGTACTACATTTTATTCTATTGCATTATACGAGGATTGGTCATGGCAACTTTTTTTTGTGAGAACACGAGCACCGGTGGAAAATGTGAAGTATACACATGAGAGGTCAAAGTATGACCTAAGTGCATGGACATTTAACGACACAACAAAATTGGGATACTCATATTTATTAAGAGATCTGAAACGACCGTTATTAAGGTATTTGAAATGACGCCTCGTTTACTCGAGATACCCTTTAATACGAAGCGGTAGATTCAGGTACTAAGAAATTGTCAATTAAATTCCAAAATATCTCAGCTTCTCTAAAGTATAAAATTATTTGAAATGAATGACCAGCCAGTGTTTGGAAATGGTACACGAAGCGATATATAGTTTTTTTAAAGCAATTATATGCATTCTTATCACATATATTCCTCTTCAATATCTTAACAATATTCATAGCTATATACTCCAATAAAACTTTACAAAACAATTAGTGTTATCAATTAATTCATTTTAAGCACAAAATGCTTTTTAGTTGATAGAATACGAGGGTTGGGACGTAAGTCCTGGCAATTATTGTTTTGTGAGAATACGAGACGGGGTGGAAAAATGTGAAAAATAAACATGAAAAGACAAGGAGGTATAAAGTAAGTGCATGGACACACCAAAATTGTGTTTCTCATATTTATTAAGGTGTTTGAAAAGACATTACTGGTTTCATGTTCCAAAGCATTTTACCCCAAACGAGTTCACAACATTCTAAAGGCGTTTTCTACGCGTTATGAAGGCCCGATTGAGCAGGTTCTGATTCGATAACCACATGCACCACGTCGGTCCGCACACACACGTCGTCACGTGCGTTGCTCATCACCGGTTGCCACACACCCTCGCAAACGCTCCCCTCCGCATCTCGCAACGGTCCGGTATGGAAGACAGATAATATTTCTTAAAAAAAAACAGTTGCCATGACTTGTACCCCAACCCTTGAGAGAAAAACAGGGAGAGAAATTCAAGGGTTAAAGATCGCATTGTAAAACAAATTGTATTTCAGACGACGTCTTAAGCAAAGCTACACACTTCGAAGCGTCTCTCCACAATTCTGTCTCTCGGGATGGTTCCTGGGTTTGAATTCCAACGGTGGCGGATTTTAACAATAACTGTGTAGCTACATTTCTCCGAAATAGTCCAGGGGAATGTCTGAACAATACTCTAAGAAATGGGTCAAGGAGCGCGCATCTTTGTTCCTTCTCTCCCGTCTATTACACACACAACACACATGCACATTATATCCCGTAAAATGTATCATTTTATTCGTTTTCGTGTTTATTAGTATATTATCTCAGATGGCAACTCAGGTAACACAATTTCCTTCTCTAAAGGATTCTTTCCGTTCTGGAAGGATGTGTGGTTGTGTGCAGAAATGCCTAATATTACCAACGATAGATCACTATCGGTAACTCACTGGCCCAGTTTGAAAAGACAATAAGGAAAGGGACAAGCTTTTCTTTTAACACCTTACAACACAACGTTTAGCTTTACTGTAAGTTTATGGATAAAGTACGCATTTTGAAACATATAAAGATTGTTTCAAGTTCCATTTGCTCAAAAGCACTCAACGACAATGCTATTGTAGACACGAGTTTCTGCGTATTTCTTTCGCACAGAAATAACTCATGAATGAGATATACAACTGAAGTTATATAATTCATTCAGACCCAATTCAAATTACATTTTCTTCTGCATAAATTGGTATTTTTGTTGTACATTTTTTAGCGTGTATGTTTGCTGTTTGCTAGGACATGATTTAATACAACGTTTTAATGCAAATATCGCTTTTGACTTTTTTTGTTCTCTGAGACACTTTATCCCCAAACTGAAACAGGACTCTCATATTATACAGAACATTGTATATTTCTATTTGTTTCATATTTATTACATATTCCGAAATTCGACAGGACTGTTCTTCAAAAATAAATTTTTATTATTGCTTTAATGGTGCAATGGATTCACCCGAGCGCTGGTTTAATAAATTTTCTTGGGTAAATGTAATACATGACAATACTTGGTGTAAGTTAAAGGCATCAGTACTTAGGGCACTGAAGTTTTTCCACCAACTTGCAGACAAATAGAAGAAAAATTAAGTACCTCATGGGAATAGATATGAAAGTCTCTTTCTAATGTATTTTTTTAGCGAAATCGTTTCTTCGTACATTCCTTGGGCGTCTATATTGAACCGATTACTAAACACAAACACGTTTGCGAGCTCCTGGTATCTAGAGCCAGCTGAACGCCCTGCGTGAAAACACACAAAGTACAAAAGACTATTCTAACTACCGTCGCTTCGGTACGATGTCTATCATAGAGGAAACAAAGAAATTATTTTCTATATGGTCTGATAATCTCGGACATCGAGGGGAGTAGAATAAAGGTGGAAATAGAAGCAGCGATATGTGTGTGTGTGTGTGTGTGTGTGTGAGAGAGAGAGAGAGAGAAATACAGTTGGAGGCAAAAAAGGAGGGCGAGGATGAGTTGAAGTCGAAAGAGAAGATAAATCTGGAGAAAAAAATTGAAATTTGGAAGAGCAGGTAAATGATGAATAAGAGAGAAAGTTGTATGCGACGGTAGAAGAGGAGGAGAAATAAGAGATAAAAGAAAAATAGGAGAGGGAGGGGGAGATAAAGATAGAATCAAAAGGTGAGAATGGGCTAAAAGATGAGGAAAAGAAGAGGTAGAAAAGGAGAAGGAAATGGAGTAAGACGACTAGTAGAAAACGTTGTTAGGTGTACGAAGAGAAAAAATGAGAGGCGAAAGAAGAGAAAGCTGAAGGAAGAGAAAATGCAACAAGAAGACGAGGAAGGAGGAAAGTATAAAGGAGGAGGAAGTGATAAAGGTGAAGGAGGAAACAGAAGAGGAAGAGATAAAAGTAAACGAGGGGGAGAGTTGAGACGACGATGGAGGAGAAAAGTGAGAATGTGGTAGAATGGAAGGAAATGGAGGACGTAGAAGGGGTAAAGGTGGAAGGCGAAGGCAGTCGTAGAAGCGGAGATGGTCTTGCAAGGAGCATAAGGAGAAGGTGGAGGCAAAACAAGTTGGAGCGAGGAGATGGTCACAGGAGAGGAGGAGGTGGAGGGCAGAGATGAAGGAGGAGAGGGCGGGTCGGTGGGCGACGCCCGCCAGGTCCAACCCACCAGACTCCCAACTGGTCGCAGCGGTGGCGGCGACTGCCGCCGCCTGGCCTTGAACCGCGGCCGTCCGCTGCGCAAGCGATCCGCCGCCTCCTGCTCCTCCGCTGCCGCCGCCGCCATCGCCCCGGGCGCCACGCGCAGCCGGGCGCCGACCCTACGCCCTCCCCTACCTTCCAGCCCGCGGACGCTCGCCACACACTCGACGGCGCCCAAGCGACCCGTGGTGGAACGCTCAGATCCTGGCGCCTGGATTCGCATCCCAGTCAACTCATTGTTTATTGATTCCGGCCGCTGCAACTGCTAAGGTCTTTAGTCACGTAAGTGTAGCGCATGATTTTATTGCGGAAGGTGGCGGTGAAGTTGCCCCGCTGGCTGACGAGATCTGCCTCCAATCTTTCTAAAGTTGAAGGATTTCCCCTAACCAGGTGTCTGCCACCAGCGTGGTAGCACTTCAGCCGGGACAAGCTGTAGGTTCCTGTCTGGTCTCCTGACATGTGTGGTAGGGTATTGTATGTGAGTGTATGTGTGTCTAAGTAAGGGATAATAAAAGGAGACAGAAGAGGAAGAAAAGATCGCGTGCGGTTCGTGGCCCGTTTATTGAAGTACTGCTTCGGCATTTGCCTGATGTCAATAGGAGAACATACGGGAAAATATAATTCTTCTCCAGACGGCGGCTGAATTCGACCTAGCTGACAAGTGGAGTCGATAATCCTGCCACTGTCCGGACTGGAACCCCACGTCCTCCCGGTCAGCCCTGAGTTGCCTTTGCCGCATCGTTGTCCAGATATATCGAATTTGGGGTGGACGCACCGGATAACTAGACGTTATTTTTTCGACGTTTTCCATTTTCGTCTGCACTCGCCATTGCTTTATCATGATCAATATTGTATCTCCACAAATACCAATACATCAAACGATTCGCCTATTACAGGTATGAGCATGAGATGTAGGCACTGGTATCATAATAAAGAATGTTTCATGGCGGTGCTGCTGACCTAAATGTTCTTTCTCCAACTCCATCCGTAGTCTTTCAATATGAAGCATGCATCATAAGGGAATAGAGAAGCAACCAAACTCCAGTTCAAATGATGAAATTATGAAACCAGTTAGGGACGGATGGCAAGACTTTATCGGAGGCTAAATTAAAAGTCCTTTTTAGGCTACTACCCCGTCATCCCCCTGCAACTGATCGGAGAAAAACACGATGAAAAGACATGAGTAAGTTAGTCCAGCGCAACGATATTTGTTCGTTTGGAAAGCCTGACCAGAAGACATCCTCCATGTTGCATGGACAGCGAGAAGTTTTGAGAAATATTTTTAAAGTGCTATAAAGTGAAGATTTTCAACTACTACCAACCAACAATAACCCGATGAAGGTGTAATGGAAATAAAAGGTACAATATTTTTAATTACTTCATATATCTGTTTAAATGAGTTGTAACGAGGCAATAATTTTGGTATCTGGCTGCAATTTAAATTCCCGCTAATATTGTGACGCAAACTACCAAATCTCTCACCCTTGTCTTTTCATTATGGAGAAAACCGAGGACATATCAGATCAGAGCAGGCAGAATTCTCATCTCGTTACGAATTTTCTCGAAAGACGAATTTAGCAGATGTTGAAAATACAGCTGAAAGTCAGCCCATGCCAGACCTCTAAGATCCGGTCTTGCAGCTACTTCTTCAGCAGTCGATCCGCCACTTTCACCAACCTCAATAATTGTTTCATGATCGTGGGCGCGCCAATAGCTAAGGTTATTAGTCCCGTATGTGTAGTGCATGTTTTACGCAGGCAACGTTCGTTGGCGAGTTCCCCCTCCCTCCACCGCGGCGCCGCCCCAGCCGGGACGAGCTCCAACCTGCCGACTGCTCTCCCAACATGTGGTGCAATGGAGTGTGTGTGTGTGTGTGTGTGTGTGTGTGTGTGTGTGTGTAGTGTGCGGTGTAAGGGATGAAGGGAGGTTAAAAAAGAAAATACCGCCCGCGGTCCGTGGCCGGTTTCTTATGGAACAGCTCCGGCATTCGCTTGCTGTAGATCGGAGAAACCCGGAAAAACTTCCGATCAGAGCAGCCGGCCGATAGAGTTATCGTCCAGACAGCTCTGAATTCGACCTAGCTATGCAGGTAGTGTCAAACATCCATCGTCAGGATTCCAAACCTAGAACCTCTCGCTCAGAGGCACGAGTCTTGCAGCTGAACGTTCTTTAGTCATTCTCACCAGCCTCAACGAGTGTCACTGTTCTTCACAATGTTTTTCCACGCATATTAACACACTTTCCTGCTAAAATTCTATATTAGGTATTTGTTCCTAAAACCGTGAAAGTTGCTCCTCAAAAATTTCTTTCCCACTTCATTCACATATTAAATGTAGTTTCATCATTGACAAATAGGAATAGCAGACTGATACACATTTTACGAAACAAGTTAAATTTAAAAAATGTAAATTAAATGATAATTTAAAGTCCTTACAAGCGTACAAAACTATTTAGACTATATAAATGCAATGTTTGACTAGTGTATATTTATTTACCTCACGAACATGTATCAACATTACTCACTATGTCACACACGTACCTAACTCGGGTATACATTTGTTCAAAAAATATATTTATAAATTGCAGTGAACGGCAAAACTTTCAACGCAGATTTAATTGCACATAGGATAATAACATTCTTCCATACTTTTACGTTTTTTGTAGTTGAGTAAATAATATCAAACATGTTTATAAATTACCGAAAAAGCAAAATCAAATTTGAAGGTATTTCATCTTTTAGATCATTTTGTCCTTTCAATGTGTAATATTAGAGACTTAAAATCTGAATTACAAAGCACCTTAAAATATTTCCACTTGTCAATTATTTAATACACATCAATTATTTAATAAATTTAAAGCAAAATGTGGGTGTATTTGATAATGATATCAACTTTTTACTGAAAACTATTGCCTACACGATAAAATGTGCTATGAAAGTGAAATATCTCAAATGATATTTTAAAATTTATCTATTTCTCTGAAGATTTCCTGAATTTAGTGTTTCAAAAAACTGACATCTAAATGGTAGTAAAACGTAAACTAAGGTCAACAGTTACATCACTCAGATCTATAAAATTACGTAATTATAACGGTTTACAGACACTAGAAATGAAGTTAATATTCACTGAAAACATATTATTTCAATGATTTTTAACTTGATTGGCATTTTTCTTCTTGCAGTTCCTCGTGCACATGCCCACAGGGACGCAAGGAAATACGCTATTGATCACAAGCACAGCACCATGAGATTAAAAAGGTCCAGGTCCACGACACTGCAAATGAATACTAATAGGGCACTCCAGTGAGACCATTACTAGAAAAAACGATGGAGCAAACTGGTCCGATGCTCGGCGCTAGACGTAGTCACAAAAAACTGCCGGCCAACTAATCAACAACCTAGTCGATAAAGCTCCGGATGGATCCCCCTTAAAATAGACCCGTATTTCGCCCGGCGCGTAAACGTCGACCGAAGGCTCACATTCCCTGCATAGCCCCGATGAGTGTTTCAGCGCAGGGCATTTGCTCCTGGCACTTAGCGAACACACTTCGCCGCTGCTCAGTTCGGCCTCGTCGCGGGCGCGGTCGATCTGCCGGCGCTGTAATTACGCCAATTGCACGGGCGCCGGCGCGGGCGCGGGTGCGGGCTGGGGGCGTGTGCGGGAAGGCGGGCGGTAGCGGGTGAAGGCGTGGACGGGGGCGCTGATGGTGGCACGGGCGGGGAGGCGGGGAGGGGCGACGGCGGGAGAGCGTGGGTTTGGGTGAGTGGGCGGCGGGCTTGTGAGGGAGGGGGGAGCGGAAGGGGCCGGCGGGGGGGGGGAAGCAGCCAGAGGGTGACCGGAGGGCAGGCCCGCAGCGCCCGTCTGTCAGCCGTTCTAAACCTAAATCCTTCGCCGCCATCGGCTTTCTAATTACGCGTTGCCACCTAGCCCCCGCCATACGTAACTCACCGCTGCCTATTTTCTAACAGCGGCAGTTTCCCGTTATCACCCCGGCCAAACTTCGCACAACTACCATCCTCTTCTCGGCCGCAGCGCTACTGCCCCCCATTCACGACACCGGCCCGCCATAAACGGGCGCCAGCCAGCTCGTGCATTATCACCAGGCACACGACACGCCACAAGCCATGGCCAAAAGCAAACGTCACAAGCCACCACAAAACGTCTACGCCACACGACACGCCACGCCAGCAAGCCACGCCACGACAACACGCCAACAAGCAACAAATCCCACATGCCAAATGCACATGCCACATGCCACATGCCAACTGCCATGCCACGCCACACACGCCGAAGTCACGCCACGACAAACACCACGAAGCCGCGGGGCCTCGTACGAAAATTGCTACGCTGCAAACCCCTCAGAAGAACTCCACTAAACGCTACGTACAGCAAAAACTGCATGCTCACGGCTAGCCAAACGAACATTCAACGCACCGCAACGACTGGGTAAGCTAGGAACGGTACGTTACGAAACATCACGCTACGGTATGTCACGCTACGCTACGACAGGAAACCTCACGCCACGTCACGAAACATTTCGACGCGCCTATTCCACGCAACACCACGCTACGCCTCGACACTTCACGCCTGGCCACAATTAACTATAACCCACCGCAACTACACTTCACACATCTCCACAGGTTCTTCCGGTTCCCGGCTCTCCAATCCACAGTCCCACCCTACCTCTTCACCCATTTTAACAACTCGGATCTCCTGTTAAACCTACTACGCCCTCCCCGATTTAAATGCCGTACCCCGGCTTACCCACCATTTCGTTATACCATGTTAACTTCACCGTGATATCCCCGCAATGATATCTAACCGCCACATCGTCTCCTTCGCGTTTTCTACACCTCCATCCCCGCCGCGCCAGCTGAGCTGTGGCTGATAATTATCTTCCATAATTATCGATTACAATCGAAGTCACGCTGTCACTCTTAACCTGACTTGCCATCCGGCGTTTCAACCTATTCAACATTCCGTCTCCGCAATGTTTCGGATAGTCCTCCCAAGCAGCCCAGCAACACCTGTGCTGTCTTCCAGTTTCCCTTCCTACTCTCAACTGTTTAGTCTTTCCCGGACAACGATCGAAAGATTCCGGAGAAATCGATTCGAAAGAGCAGGTCGACGGGAAAGCGGGAGGAACGATGAAGACACGGATCCGGGCAGCGAGATAGACGATAAAGAGGAGGGAATGAAAAGCTAGAGACAAGGAAGCGTGCGGGATGACGAAGCGGGACGGGCGGGGAAGTGGGAGGAACGGGGTAGCGGGAAGAATGGGGAAGCGGAAGGAAAGGGCAAGCGGGAGAAACGGGGGAAGCCGGAAAGACGAGGAAGCAGGTGAGAGATGTAAGTGGGAGAAACGGGGAAACGGGAGGGATGTGGAAGCGGGAGGAACGGGGAAGTGGGAGGGACGGGGGAGTGGGAGGAATGGAGAAGCCGGATGGACGGGGAATTGGGAGAGCAGGGGACGCGTGGGGGTGAGGGAAGGGCAAGGGAAGTGCGAGGGACGAGGAAGCGGGAGGATCCAGGTAACTGGTAGGTGAGGGAAGTGTGAGGGATGCGGAACGTGGAGGGTTCAGGAAGCGGGAGCTAACGGGAGTCGGATGAGATTGTGAAGAGGAATGTCCAAACAAGCCGATCGGAAAACTGCAGGAGCGAGGACGCGAGTGGGGCGCGAAAGCGCTGCAAGCGGCAGGGAGGGGAAGGGATCGGGCACTGGCAATGGCGGGAGGGGCGGACGCAGAGGGAGGAGACGACAACGGAGGAGGAGGAGGACGCCACCGACGGGCAACACTCGGTGACACTTCCCATGCGCCACCGGGAAAAAGCGGGGACGACGGGCAGAAAAAAGGAGAAGAGCGCTTCCGCCGGCAGTAAAACCGCAGCGCTCTCGTGAATCAATTAGCAATAAACACGGAAAGTGCAGCCCGGCAATTACGCTTACGTAATTAGGGAACAGAGCGACGGGTCGCCCCGCTCCCGTTTAGCGAGCGCCCGCCCCCGCACGCCCCCGCCCGCTCCCGCGCCCTGCCTCGGAGGTCGGCCTCCGACGAACAGCGAACGGAGCGGCTCCGGAACATTTCGCGCAAGGGGGAAGCAAAATAGCAGCGGGGTGCCGAAGACAACGCACGGAGCTCATTCGCGAAGAAACACTACAATTCGTTTCTCGAGCAACTACGAAGTAAAGAAGAGATCAACTAACCGTATGAGCAAAATGTTCTTGGAACAAACACGATAGAATGAGGACTGGATACACCAAGGAAATTAGGGAATACGACCAGATAGGATCAAAAGCTGGGACAATGCTTTTAATTCAAAAGTAAGGCTTGATTAAACCCCACGAGCAGTAATTGGGACACGAATGTTATGGTCTCGTACAAGTGGTGAAAGGTAATACCCAATTCTTTGTATAAGATACACATGAAGGTATCAACGATAATTTGTTTATCTATACCAAGACGAATCAATTTCTGCTCGATGATGATATTGTTTGCCATGCAGTTTCGCTACATGTTAACATGTCACGCCATATGCATTAATGCGTATTTATCATAAATACAATAAAGATAGACATAAAATGTATTAAAATAACATCCAGAATAGATTTCTTCTACTTTTAAAAATGTATGTTCTTATTTATATAATTGGTCACCTGAATATTGAAAACATTTTTAGGTCGCTTTTTAACAACTAGGTCATATGGCAACCACTGTGTTTGCTTTAATGGGGGGGGGGATTACAGGAAGAACACACAAGGACAACCCGAACACATACAAACATCCATGTCCGAGGCGAGATTCGAGGTTTCGAACCCGCGGCCTTTCGAGCCGAGATAGCCACGGCCCTTCAGCCTTAGCGACTTCGCTATCCAAACCAAAAACTATACAGAACGTTTTAAGTTAAATTCAATTCGATGCACACCTCGTACTATTTAATTTGAGCATTCAATTTCATTACTGAACCTTGCCTCGAAACAAAGGAAATATTGGTAAGCCACATATAACTTCGTTTCTCTAGTGCATTTCAGGTTATCTATTTTGCAACAATAATCGTACAAATCCCTATTCTTCATCTTAGAGTGTTATAACGTGTTTCAATCGCACGGTCATCTATGAGTTTCGTGACAAATAAATGAACGCTAGCGCGACAAGTTTAGAATGTTGCGATTGCTCTTCTTATCAAACACTCATCATATAAAGCAAGCAAGTACGCTTTTAGCCGCTTATCTCTTTTCTGAATTAAAAGAAATTTTAATATTCGGAGACAAAGTGAGAAAATTGATCAAAATTCTTAAGTAGAGTTTTATTTTGAATTTCTTCATGGGAACACGCCACCTTTTTCTTGTATTCGTGGTATGATTGAGTATCCTGAATATAAAAAAGGCACTCTGAAATATATTTTACAACGCGTTCAGTTCATTGGCGATGTGTGAGAAACTTCTAAATGAGATAAAATGCAAATTATTGAGGAAGATGGCTGGCCAGATAGCTTCTCATAAACGTTCATACGGTTGTAATGAAGGCTTTATAAGTGAATCAAGTTGCGAATCAGAGACGGAAATTAAGCATTCAAAGAGAAATACCGTTTAGGATACTAAAAAAACACGTCAAAAATATGAAAGAAGTACGTCTTATTTTGATTAAATGCAAGTTTTGTGAGACAAGCATTCATGTAGGGGAAGTTCGAGCAAAGTGGAAATTGCATTTAAAACTCACAGATTTGGAGCTTTACATTTCTAGAACATGTATTTTGTCGAAGCATGTGTCGACTATGTGAAAGTGTCATGGGGCTAGCATATTATACATGCGAATTATTATTCTTTTTGTGATTTTCCTCTTGACCTTACAAAAGCATAAGTAATGCAAAACATTGTGTATGGCATAACAAAGCAGAAGAACGATAGTATTTATTCTAATATCTTTATTTCCCCTCAGCAGCGGAGCACCGCCCTTGACGGGACGAACTTTAAGCTCCCGACAGGTCTCCCAGCTGTGTAGTGGTGGAATGCATGTGTGTGTTTATGGAGAGGCCTCCCAGCTGTGTAGTGGTGGAATGCATGTGTGTGTTTATGGAGAGGTCTCCCAGCTGTGTAGTGGTGTAATGCATGTGTAAGTGTGTTCATGGGGTGAGGATAGGACAGAGAAGGGGAAGGGAAGATCGCGCGCGGACCGTGCCACAATTGTTAGGGTAGTGTTCCGGCATTCACCAGGTGTTGATCGGAGGAACCACGGAAAACTACCGATCGGGGCTTCTGAATTCGATCAAGCTCACAAGCTACAGGACTCGGAGCTCAGGACAGGAGCTCAGGACTCGAACGCTCAGACCTCCCGGTCAGGCGAACTGCAGTGCCAGCCGTTGATTCCCTGAGCCAACTTTGCCGGCTATTGACCGGAGAAACCACGGAAAACTACCGAGCAGAACAGCTGGCTACTAGAATTCTCGTCTAGTCAGAGGTTGAATTCTTCCCAGTATGCAAGAAAGAAATGTTTTAAAAAATTCCCATATTTTATTCTGAGTAGACTCGTTCTCACAGGGAAGGACTAAAAAGTTGTTCTATTTATATCGGCCGTCCTGAGAACAATCTTTATTTCATTTTTACCAGAAAAGTGCACTGCTTTCAAAACACTCCATACTACTACTAAATACTATTAAGTTTCTAAATTACTACTAAATTCTACTTTCTGAACATACATTTTTTATTAGCCCCAAAATGAATATTTTACAGATGATATGTTTCCATATGCAAGGACAATTTGAGATATCAACATTTAGGTGCCACTTTTCAAGGCTTTTTTCCCGAAATATTTCAAGACAGTAATTTTTTATGACTTTGACATCTCAACAAAATTCAAAATCTGGCTATTATTTATTAACTGTGTTTTTGAATATCAAATCTAAAATAATTCCATTCAACAAGTGGCAAGGAATGTGAAGGAATGTGACATGGAATATGAAACGGTCATTTAACTACAATTGTTTTTGGGAGGAATAAATTTACTCTCGCTCTCCCCGTGGGGTTTTTCTGTTGTAGTCTTACAAAGCTTCTAGGAATTCTTCAGAGAATCCTGTCAGCTGAAAAAAATCCTGAGTCATAATCATTACCTCGTGTGTGGCCCGAACAAGGATAGACTATAATTCTCATGCCATCCATTATGACGTGTGACACGTTCAAAACAATCTGCTTCTTTTCCCGCTTCGGAGAACAGTCATTACTGAAAGGAAGCATAAGTAGCCTTGCTGCTCCGAGGAGGAGTCGCGGCACGCAGAGGCCAGGAATGCCCCCGAAGAGCCCAAAGGAAGGTGAATTTTAAACGGCAATAAAATTTAAATCTGCTTTATAGGCAGCTCTATTTCTGTTGTTATTCATCCCATACAAACCAACACAAAGAACTTGGAGAGCATGTTTAGAGTAATGGAATAATGAACAATGCTTACTTGCAGCGCTCCTTTTACAATAATAAGATCTGTCTAGACAGGAACCTTTATTTTTCAAGATATATCTTTAACGATACATGAAGATACAATGGCGATGCGCAGGATATGAACCTTAGAAATAATCGGCAAACTATCCCAATGGACAGAGTAATAAGTAAAGCCATAAAGACACACAAAAGAATAAAATAAAACTGACTATATGTTACTAAAATAATGTCACGATGTTATTCTTAAAATAAAAGAGGAAAGATATTCGAAAATATCAGTGAATTCGCAGCCCTCTGAAAGAACGAAAGATAAGTGTGAAATGAAAAGAGAATAAAGTGGAAATGAAGAAGAGAGATTTAGATTTGGTGATTGATAATAAAATAGAAATCGAGATCAATAATTAAAAAATGCAGTAAATATCTCGTTATAAAGAATAACCATAGTCTTACGGCACGATTAGTTAGTAATTCAGGAATAACTAAGGAGTATCATTAACGTACACAATATACTTTTATTAAAAAAATATTAATTTCAATCTCTAACACTGAAAAGTATTCAGCACTGGAGTGAATTTACCACTATATTATACTTAATTTTATTCCATTGCATTACAATTAACATTAAAGTAATGTTTGTTTTGCTCTTTGCCATTCATCTATTAGTCTGTCGATTTATTTTAGTCGATAAAGGCTTACCGTGCCCATTCATTATCCGCACGTTTTCCTTATGTTGCTCTTATGTTTTTTTATTTCGCTGGTATGGTAGCCCATTCTCACCTGTCAGAGGTGGCCTATAGCCCCATTTTGGTGCTATCCCAATTGGTGTTTTCAATGGTTTCCTCGATCAATACCACACGAATGCCAGAGCTGTACCCTAACAAACAGGCCACGGATCGTGCGTGATATTTCCTTCCTCTTCCGTGCCCTACTCTCACACCCTACCCTACACATACGTGCACTACACTACCACACATTCGGGAGACCGGTCGGGAGCCGAGAGCTTGTCCCTGATGGAGCGGTGCCCCGCTGGTGGGAGATACCTGGTTGGGGAAAGCCCTGCTAGCCGACGCGCATGTCGGTACCGGAACTCACCATCCACCGGGGAAAGGTCAGCGCCATCCCCCGAGGGAAAAATGCTCCGCACTTACGGGACCAAGGACTTGAGCAGTTGACAGTCCATCAGCGGTACCCAACAGAAAGTTCACACTTTACGCGGGATTCGAAACCTCCACTTCAGTGTAATATAGCAGAGTGTGTTCCTCCTCCTCCATGCTGGTTAGAAATGGAAGAAAGATGATTCGGAGCACTCACATGGCGATTGGAAGCACAAACAAGCTAACAACCATGTCCAAATCAGACCATGCCCACTCAACAGATGAAAGTAGACTCTGTGGTTATATTTTTTTCTGCGAAAATGCAGCTAAAGTACTATTTTTTGTTGAAACTAAATTATATTGCCTCACCTGTTCCTCAACGAACGGAAATATTTAATAGTCATATTAATACGATATACTTAAGATAATGATGATAAATACATTTAAAATGTTGATAACATCTCGAAGTAATACATTTTGTTTTAAGAATCACATTTCTTAAATCCTATCATTCTTCTCTCTTTGCAAAGCAGTGAAATACGTTGAAATATTCTCAAGAATTATTTTCCCCTGCCATGGCATATTGCAATTCAACGAAATTGATTCAATGTGCCAAGTTGAACTCTAAAAAGTTAACACCATTCACTTCCTTAACCAATTTCTATTTTCGATATCTCTTCCGTTCATCGACATTCGTTTAAAACGTTTGAAATATATTGCTCTTGACTCCTGGCGATAGAATCGAATAGGCGGGCTCGCAGTTCGCATCGTATCGATTCCGCATTTCGTCGAGGTGTCCCTCCGACCTCTCGGCGCCTCGTTTTCGTGGGCCGATAACTTCGAGAATATGCGGTTTGACATCCAACACCCGCCCCCCAACGCGACGCCGTGCCAGATAGTCGAGAGGCGTGGGGCGCCGCAGGGTTCAAAATAATACAGGGAAATAGGAGATCTCACTTTTTTTTGAAAATACAGCAGTCATTGGTAAGACTAGTATTAGCACATTCTACAGAAACAAAATGCAAAACACCACAACATATCCGGTAAATCGAAATCACAAAAATCCCAAATGACAAAGTACTCGAAAGAGAGGAAAACTGAAAACACAAGATAAAATGAAAATAGATATTTTAGCAGACCATTGGTAAACGAAAGGAAATAGTGAGCTAACAGTTGAAACAGATGAAAGCTCGGAAGTGCGATTATACACATCAATTAGAACGAGATAACTAGAGCACTCAGGAAACTATTCCGAACTTCTAACTGAACAAGCTATTTCCCAAAAAATTGGAAAGATTAAAATTAAAAAGACACGCACAAAATTTAATTGCCTTTTTGTAGAATTATTCAATTCTCTACCAACGTCTGTTCTTGTAAATTTGTTAGTTATCTGTATTAGAGTAAACCTCCCGATATTATAGAAAATAATTTCCATTGGGGTTCCATATTTTCATCATAATACCTATACTTTTTTAAACTAACTAGAGAGCGAATACTCGAGAATTACGCATGGTCGCACATCAATAATTTTCGCGTTAAATCTAAAGGAAAACTCTGTTATTCTTTTAATTCAAGAGCTCAAAAAATCATTCCGTGACACTATTAATGAACAACTAATCACAGAAGTAAAACATGATTCCAAATGTCTTACAAACGTGAAATAATTAAAATATTTATTTTAAAATACTTGTATTACATTCAATATTACATAACGTATGTTGTTAACATAACGTTTCGTGTCTACGACGAAAACTTTTTTGGAAAACAAGCATTACTTCAAAATTCTAATAGTTTATAGGAGTACTTCAGTTCAGTTTTATTATATATTTATTTGGCTGCAATTGGCTGATTGCCAGGTGGTAGCCATAACCCTCCAGTTTTACAATATATGAACATTTATAATTCTAAAACAATTTACAATACACTCCTTTCGAGCATATACACTCAATATATAGACATACACAGACCTGTATACATCTATGGCACATATATACACCCATACACACACTATCATATTTATATATATAATTAATATAATATATATTATATATATATATACACACACATGCATACATTACATACATACACACATACACATTTCTATACATGATATGCTCACTCTCACGTTCACACCATAACACGAACACACACACACACCACACTTGGCCCTACATATTATACATGCCTACATTTAGATGAATAACATATATTTAGTTTACACCTAGTAAACATGCATATATATATTACATAAAATTAACACCAGTTACAACAATTTGTTTTTTAAATATATACACAATGTGGATTTTTAAAGTTAGCTCTTTAAGCATTTAGATTTTGCTCACCACCTACTGTCGCTCTTCACTCACTTCACTTCACTTCACTTCACTACATTACATTACACTACACTACACTATGCTTTTCCACTACATCTTTCTTTGGTTATGCACATAACTAATTAAAGTAGGCTTTCCACTGCACTACACTGCACTACACTACCACTACAACTTTATCTATAATAATCTACAAATTGTGTATTCTCTGAGCTGTTGCGGTAAAATACATCCTCTACAAGTACTTATTAAGTGTCTTCTAAAAAACACCAACAGAAGCCAGGAAAAGGCCTTACGACCGCTGCAGGGATTTCATCCAATTTTTAACCGTACGATTTACAAAATGAATATTCCTACGTCGGAATCTCTGACATATACTTTTTATTTTGCATTTGTGATCGTTTCTCCCAACTCTTGAAGGGGTTCTAGTCTTTTCGTTATTTCTGCCCATGCAGGTGACTTACTGTACGCCTTGAAGAGGGCAGCACAATCTGACTTTTCTTCTTCGCACACTGAGGGCCTCTATAGGTTTTGGTGGATTTGAACTACTCAAAGATCCTATTTATGGAATTTGATTGCTTTCTTTTGCATTTTTTTCTAACTCTTCAATCGACCTAATCTGTATGGGTTATGTTTAAAATTTTGAACAAAATATTATAATAAAAAAACCGAAAAAATCTTGGTAATGTTCAGTCGAAAAATCAAGTTTTAAGAGCTTTGGATATTTGCGTACCGTATCTTGCTTTTTCGCCTGTTCTAACAAAGGTTTAGTTCAAACTACTCGTAGATGAACAGAACATTTGAATTGGACGCGTTCCCGTGCTGCACATGAAGGGCAGGCAAGGAAGCAGAGAGTCCGAAACGAGAGCGATGCGCTCAACTGCCACTGTCTAGGATGCACCACTGAATGCGCTCTCTGCCCTGCACTTGTGCCGCCAGCGATCCCCGACCAACCTCTGCAGCAGCTTTGTATTTAACGGCAGCTCAGCCAGGACTTATCAACGTCACACAGATGCCTCCGGGACAGATCCAATGAGAATCGTATCGATTGCTTGTGGCTCGCTCGGCGCTGTAATGTGATGCGGCGGCCGGCGGTGAGGGGGGAGATGCGGAGGGAGCGAGAGGACGGGAGGGGATGGGAGGAGGCAGGAGGGGAGTGGAGGGGAGGGAGGAGGGAGGGGATGCGAGGGGAAGATGGGAGGAGGGAGGGGATGGGGAGGATGGGATGGGGAGAGGGGAGATGGGGAGGAGGGATGAGGGAGGAGGGATGGGATGGGGCAGAGGGAAGGGGATGGGGAGAGGGATGGATGGGGAGAGGGAGGGATGGGGATGGGCGGAGGGAGGGAGGGATGGGAGAGGGAGGGGATGGAGGGGAGGGAGGGGAGGGAGGGGATGGAGGGAGATGGGATGGGGAGGAGGGAGGGATGGGGAAGGAGGGATGGATGGGAGGAGGAAGGAATGGTGGGGAGGCGAGGCATGGGGAGACCGGAGAGGGATGGGGAGAGGGAGGGGAGGAGGGATGGGAGGAGGAGGGAGGAGGAGGAGGGAGGGGAATGGGGAGGAGGGAGGGGATGGGGAGAAGGATGAAGGAGGGAGGATGGGGAGGAGGGAGGGATAGGGGAGGGATGGGGAGGGATGGGAGGAGGAGGGATGGGGGGAGGAGGGAGGGGATGATAGGAGGGAGGGGATGGGGGAGGGAGGAGGGATGGGGGAGGATGGGGAGGGGATGGAGGGAGGAGGGGATGGGGAGGAGGGAGGGATGGGGGAGGGGAGGGATGGGGGAGCGAGGAGGGATGGGGAGGAGGAGGGGGATTGGGGAGGAGGAGGGATGGGGGTAGGAGGGAGGGGATGGGGAGGAGGAGGGGATGGGGGAGGAGGGATGGCCGGCATGGGGAGGAGGAGGGATGCGGAGGAGGGGGAGGAGAGGGAGGAGGGAGGGGATAGGGAAAGGAGGAAGGGCGGGGAGGTGAGCGGAGGAAAGGGAGAGGATAGGTAGAGAGGCCGGAGAGGGGTTGGTGAGCGAGGGTGAGTGCCGGGGGTGAGGGAGGTCCAGAAGCGGGGAAGAAGGGATGGAGGGCAACTTTGCTGTGCGGAAAGTGTGGGGTTGGGTAGTGAAAGCGGGATGCATATCGCGAACAAACTTCTCCATTGCAACGCAACGCAGCGGAGCGGTTCAGAGTTCTGTCTGTAGCTGCGGGTGATACACGACCGCCCGAGGAGGGACAGAGGGCAGCGCTGGCAAAGGAATATTGTTCTCCCGGCATATGAACGCACAAGGACAGCTTCATTATCATTTACGTAGCAAGAACTAACTTCTACATAAATTCGGAACCGTTAAATCGCTTAGAAACAGAGTGTATTTCAAGTGAAGTTGAATATGTTCTGGATCGTTCGTGAGGTTAAGACACATTCACCCCTTTATTCCTGTATTCAAGTAGATATCTGAAATGCGTGCGAGGCGAGTTTGTTTCAATTATAACGTGTTTAAAGGAGACTTCCATGTCTAGAACGCGTGCACACATATGAAAATTGATTTTTTAACAGGATTCGGTGCTGACTAACACAACCAATCACTTCGAAACGTGGAGAAATAAAATCATCCGGTCTTCAGTCAGAAATGGAACGTTTCATGCTGCAAATTGCTGATGCAAATGCTAAAAGCACGCTCACTGTCCTCATATAGCAACGTAGGTTGTTGAGAGACGTCTGCATAGTTTTGTTTTTCTCTGTGGTCGTTGTTTCATTGTTTGGAACGTATAGTAATAAAACTTTTCTTCCTTCTAAGTAATAATGTCTTTCAACGCTTATAAATGTTTTTATACAAACAATCGACACCATCATCATGATTAATCGCTGCATGGAAACTAGGCGTTCTCTTACCTTTACCATAAACATGCCCTAAACTCTGTTTAGTATCTGTAGAGAACAGAAAATGGTGAAAATTGAACTATATTTTTAAAAATGTTACCATCTGTGTGTGAACGGAAAGGACTGCGAGTACAAAAACATTCGACACACTTTAAAAATGTCCTTTCCACACAAAATACAGCTGAAAGTATTTTATCACTAACTTATAGACAATGTATTTAATATTTTGATAAATACGTGTACCATTAGTTCTTAAATACATAAAATGTGTCCTTCATTAATTTCAGTTTATTGGAAGTCTCGCCGTTGTCCCTGATGGGTACTGGAATGGCGCTGGTATGCAGCTATTTGCGAAGGTAAAGTTCACCCCAATTGATAGGTGAACTCGTAGGCTTTTGGAAGGAACCGAGACATGCCTGGTGAAAACATGGCGTGTGAAAACCTCTTGTTTAAAATATGGCGGACGACAACACAAACCTGTGAGAGGAACAGCGTCGCGTATATTCTTTAAGGGTGCAGTTGACGCTTCGCTATTACTCAAATTGATGACGTAGTTCCTACTTTCGGCGCGATTCACTTGCACATGCTTCACACTGTCCACTGCATTTAAGTCGCAGTTGACTCTCCGCAGCAAGTGTTCAGGCTGATGACGAGGTTCTGACCTTCGTCCAATGCGATGAACATGAAATATCCTTGAATCTGTTAAATGCATTTAATTTCCAATACTTCAAACGCACAGTTGACGCTCCGCTCCGCGTGTGTAAAATGATGATGGGTGATTCGTATACAACATGCTTGAATCTGTTCAATTTATTTAATTTCCAATACTTCAACGGCGCAGTTCACGTTTTGCTAGGCTTGTCCCAATTAAAGACGATGCTCCGGCTTTCGACCTGCAGCATTGTAGTACGACTCTCACGAGTATGCATTACAAAGAAATCGACTCACTTCCAAGATAACATGACAAACAACTACAGGAACCCGCGAAGTAAGTCGACGCTTCGCAACGTGACCCCAGGATGATGACGACACTTCGGTCTTTGATTTACGCGTTCAACATAAAAAATTCCTAAATCCTAACGCCCACTTTCCACCTTATTTAAAAAGAACAGAAAAGAAATCTAAATAATTTATTAATGATAACAATTTAGAATCGGTAGTGCAATGACTTCTGAAGTAGTTTAAAAAGAGTTCCTTTACAATATTTTGGTATTTCATTCCACCAAAACTCTACGCACAGCACGAAAACTACCATGCGCATTTTAATTACAGAACAGAATGACTTCGTACGCACGAGTTCCCGCATCTCGTCCATTACTTTTTTACACTCATCTCGTGCACCGATTTGGGCGAACTGTACGCTATCCCTGATAACAATGCGCCATACTCTCCAACCCCTTCAATGGCAACCACTGCCGCAGTTGCCTGCGCCATTGCCCGGCCAAGTTAAGCTTAGAGTAACAGAGCGGCTGACAGGGTGGTTCTAAAACTGGAGTCTTGACGGTGGAGAATTTTCGACTATAGCCGCGTAGTTAGGTCTAATTGAGCCGATAACCGCAGGAGAATTCTAGCGGCCGGCTGTTCTGATCGGTAATTTTCATTGCTTTTGTTCATCAAAACCAGGCAAATGCCGGAGCAGTATCCTCAAAACGGATAACAGATCGCGGACGATCTTTCCTTTGCCTTCCTAGTTTTGTCATCATTCCTTACACACTTGCATGCCCTACATTACCACACATAATGAGACCAGTCAGAGGCTTAGAAGTGGTCCCGTCTGGGGAGGGCTATACCTGCAGGGGGAATCCTCTGCAAGACATGGAGGTCAGCGACGGATCTTATCATCCAACAGGGGAGGAACACCACCACCAGCCGGGATAAACATTCACTACACTAATGACCATAGCAGTTGGCGCGCGGGGAAACATTCATTAAACCAGACTGCCTGGCTAGGGAGTCAATCCGCCAAGAAGACTTTCGCACCACTGCCCGTCGCCCGAAGGCAGCACAACAAACTGTGGACGAGGAATTGCATCCGGTGAAGGAGGCAACCACGAAGGAGAGCGCCAATTCGGGATGAGGCCAAGTGATGTGGGTGGACAATTCGGGGGGAATGCGGGTGAGATCCACGGACAGCTTTTTGTTTTTAATTTCGTGAAAATAAATAATCGGTTTTGCGTTAACTTCAGCTAAATTTATTAAAATTTTCAATTATTAATTAGTTATTTTTTGATTTTAAATTAGGTATTAAAATTACGTTAACTGAAGGTTATGATAATCAAACGGTCATTACATTATTGCTTCCCTCACATGGAGCTTGCGAAGCGTAATCCCGGAGGTCCCCAACCGCCGGTTAGAAACCTCCGCATTCGACCACGTGATGTATACATTCTGCAGTCGTTTTCGCCGGAGCGTCGGTGGCCAGGGGAAGCCAATCTGCGCAGGAGCCGTTCGCAAGGCGCCTCAGCCACATTCCGCACGGCGAGACTTTCCCCTCCTTCGCCTGTCCGCTGGCGGCGAAGCCTCTGCCCGTCGGGCGGCAGGCGAAGCTTCTTTCTGGGCGCAGAGGGCCGCGCAGGCACAACAACCGTCGAAGGGCCACGAGAGGAGGCGAGGGCAGCTGTGTTACGTGTCTAATACACTTCCCACCCGAAACAGTGTATGCTGCCGTAGGCGCCCGCGATCGTGGGTGTTTCAAATATAATTCTGTTGCCGCTGCTTTCCACTTACCCCACGTCGCTGCCCGTTCACCTACTTCTTGAGGATTGTCAAATAAAAGACTTACAGGTCCAACAAAATAAAAATATAATGTTTGTAAGTTGTGGACGACGCTTCTGCGAATATTCTGTTACGTATTCTTGAACCACTTATTAATTATATCTAATACCTTCCCCAAGGTTTTGCCAATCTTCCACACTGTTGAAAACTCTTCTTTTTATGCATTTAAATAAGTGTTTTACTTTAAATATCATGATGTAATCGTCAGGCGTGCATTCGTTTCGACGTCTAGGTAGCATCTTCCCAAACAAACTTGCCTTCATAGTCACTCATACCATTGCTAAATTGTCCGTTCTCTTACGAGTTGATACACTTGTACCAAGTTTTATTTTAATTTCGTACCAGTGACGAAGAAGGCTGGCGCTGAATTCATAAAGGAAGACAAAGTAGGTGGTGAGGTTATCGAGGATGGGTGGGTGGGTGAGTTGGTTATCCGGTGACAAAAAGGATGATGCCAATTTGTTTTTATTTCGCGTTTTTTGCGTTAATGTTTTTCAACTACGCGAAAATGAATAAGCGATTTCATTTTAATTTCGCTTTACTTTTTCCAAAAAATATCAAGTAATTAATTATATTTTTAATGTATTTTTAATTTAATAAAATTAATTATAGGGCAGCAGATATATGAAATATTAGACAATAACTGTTTATTTGTATGTTGATGTAGCAACACACAGTGATGACATTTATAGTTGGTTTTGGGATATATGAGGATGGCTGAGTTACAATTAACGGACACAAAGGACACTATTTTTTCAAACGTTTCTTTTAAATTTGGAAACTAAATACCACGTGCAACTCACCCCAAGCGTTCTTTTCCCTTCTACACAACCAAAAATGCACAATGACGTCAACATTTTCATTAGC